GGTACACTAGTGCCGAGTAGCTTCGCATCGATGCTGCAGCTGCGAGCGCCACCGCCGCGTGGCCGCTCACCACATACACTCGCCTCGTGTGTGGTTTGCGTACCCCCCCCCCCCCCAGCCGCCCCAGGCCTCCCAGACTCCATCTTGTCCTTTTGCGGGCTGCCTGGCTGTGTTTGAGCCATTCTTCAACTCACGTTGGTTTGGGACCCAGGTGCGGTGGGGGTTTTGTCTCGAAAATCGGCCACCCCCCTAATTCCGCAGCAGCATTTCCGCCCACCCCAGCAGAACAAGCCACAATGCGCGCCTCCCTCGTCCTCCTCGGCCTTGCTGCCTTTGTAGCAATGGTGTCGGCAGGCCCCGTGCGGGGCCCAGGCTGCTGGCGCACCGACTCCATCCCCTCCTTCAAGTTCAAGCATGGCGTTCCGGTCGATTTCACTAAGGTGGGTTGGCGTCCCGCGCATGTCGCGGCGAACATCATTGATGGCGCGGTTGAGGCAGCTGCCCAAAGCCCGACCGAAGCTTGCAGGGCCCGAAGCCCCACCCTCCCGCACACTGGTGTCCTTGGGGGGGATTTCGGGCAGAGGGTCCTTTCGCTGACCCACCAACGCGCCGCGAGGAACACGCCAGCGCCAGCTGCAGCGCCGGTCCTATCCCCCTCAGGCGCTGTCCTGACCACTCCTACTGACCGCTTCCCTGCCTCTTCCTGGTCTTCTGACTGCTGCAGAAGGACTGGGTGGGCGCAGCCTACAAGCAGGCAAGCTGCCGTCCCGCCTGCCGGCCAGCTGCCGCTGCTCAGCTGCAGCTACTCGCCCCTCCCGACTTGCCGCTGTCGGCACAGGATCCTGTTCTGTGGTGGCGTGCCTCCCAGCCTGCACCCGCTGCTGCTGATCTCTGCCAGCTGCCATAGTGGTTGCCATCCTACCCTACCAGCCAACCCCAAATCCACTCATCATCATCCCCCCGCCCTTCGCCCCGCCTGCAGGGACGGGCCCGCGCCATCTTCCGCTCCACCCCCACGAACGGCCTCATCTGTACCAAGGCAAGAGCCCATGCCGGCTGAACACGGGACGCATCGCATCCCCTGCGCACGCGCCCTTTCCGCGCTGCCCATCCGCTGGGCCGCAGCCGGCAGACACATGCAGCACAGCACGCTCGCCGCCATGCGCCTCTCTGCCTTGTCCCTTCCCAGCGCTCCCGCAGCCGAGCACGTCGCCCCTTTCCCTTCCCTTCCTGCTGCAGCCCGTGGCCCACGCCGTCAAGGCCTGCTACAACTCGGTTGACCCCGGCAAGCTGGGACCAAACCAGATCGGCGGCCAGTACGGTGAGAAGTACAGCCAGCGGGCAAGGCTGGGCTGGGCTGGGCTGGGCTGGGCTCAGGGCCGGCTGCCGACACCTGGCAGGCGGGGCGCGCGCCCTGCGCCGTGGCGGCCGCCGCAGCGGTGCCCCGGCGGGCGGCGGGAGCCTAGCTGGGGCCGGCCGGCCGCCGGCCGCCTCAATTGGGCCTGCTGCAGCAGCAGCCAAACCAGGCGTGCTGGCGACCCGCGGGCTCACGCCGCTGTACTGCTGTACTGCAGGCTTCGTCATCCAGACCACCCAGGAGTGCCCCCTGGGTAGGCCCGGCGGCTTCCAGGCTGGCCCGTGCTGGCTGGCCAAGCAGGGAGCCAAGCGCGCCGCGGCCCCTCCCCTGCATGCGTGCCGGCAGACGCACCGCAGCCGCACGCCGCCTCTGCCGCCAGCTGCCCTCCACTGCCTGTGCCTGACGCACGCCGCCGTGTCCCCCCCTCCCCACCCCTCCCTCTTCTGCCACTCCCTGCAGCTCACCATCACTAAGATGGTAGGAGGGAGCCGGCTGGCCTGACGCAGTGCCGCCACAATTGCCCGCCTGCTTGCCCACCAGCATGCCGCCCGCACCGTGTGCCGCCAGCGCACGCGGTGCTCCACCCACCCCTGCACCCTTCCTCCGGCCTGCCCGGCGCCGTAACACCCGTCCCTGCACCTCCCACCCACCGCAGTGCTACATCCGCATGAACACCCTGCGCAACAACCGCTTCCTGGACGCCAGGTGGGTAGGGCCCAGGCAGGCGCAGGCACCTGCACAGACCTCGGGCTTTGTGTGTCGGGGGCTGGTGTGGGCAGCATGACCTCGAGGCAGGCCTCTCTGCCGCCGTTGCCACCAGTCAGCGGCAGCCATGGCAGCCAGCAGCATCGGGCGCATGCTGCAGCAGGCAGCAGCGAGCGCTCGGGCACGAGCAGCAGGGTGCCGTGCGCCGCGCCGCTCCCTTCAATGGGGAAGGCTTCCCCTTGCACCTGATACTCCAACCAGTTGTTGTGCCACCCCGCCCCGCCCCCTGCCCCCGCAGCCTGTGGAAGCGCTCCCAGGTGGACTGCGTTGATGTGGACCCCTGAAGCAACTGGCCGCCCTGATGAACAGCACAGCACGAAGCGGCGCTGTGATGAGGGTGCGGCGTCGCGCGCTGCCACTCTGGCAGCGCATGGCGGCGCCCCTCTTGAGCGCTGTAGCGCCGAGCCCACCACCTCCCGTTGGCCTTCCTTTGCCCGCCTCCTGCACACCAACCCGTCACCCCCGAACCCTACTTTGGACCTGACCCGACCTGCGGCCCCGATACAGGGGCGGCCTGAATTGCCGTGTCCACTGTTGACCCCCCTCCAGCACCACCCGCTGAGGGACCCCCGACCCCTCAACCCCCCCTGCACCACCAATGCCCTCGCCGGCCCTCTACCTCTGAATACAGCTGACCTGCTGCCAGCTCCGATACTGGAGCGGCCGCTTGGAAACTCCCCACCTCCCCTTGCAGGCCCCTGCCGCCACCTCACCCGCCGCCTGAGCTGGCCCTGGCGCCCCCTCCCCACTACGTGCTGGCCACGCCCCGCACTGGGCGCAGCCCCGCGCCACCGGCCCTCACATCCTCTGCCTGCTGGGGCTCCCCATTTCAGGAGCCCAGCCCTCCCAACCCACACCCGCCCACACACCACCCCCCTGTGACCCCCCCCCCCCCCCCCCAA